AAGCCAAATAAATCTTTCCTCCTTTAACTTATAAGTGTCAGGTATTTTGACCCAGCAACAAAAAAGTAGTTTAGACACTGCCTCAGCTCCACCTCAGATCAGATTCTCATAAAAAGCATGCAATCTGGATCCCCTGTGTGTTGTTACTTTTCTCAATGCTGAGACAAAATACCCAACACCCAAAGTTAAAGGGGAAAGGGTTTATTTTCATTTATCTCACAGTTCTTAGAGGTTTCAGTCCATAATTGGCTAGCTCCCAGGCAGGGTAGATGGCAGACAGGCATCATAAAAGAGAAACAACATGGTGCACGCAGGCAACAAAAGCAACAAGGTAACCTTAACAATGTCTTTCTACCCCTGTTATCTTACCCAGACTACATGGATTAGGGCAGTGCCAAACCAATCAGTTTAGTGGTTTAGTAATCACGCCCTTAATCCCAGCATCACACACTCTAGATTCAGCCACCACTGAAAAAACTACCTATGACCACATGAAGCACAAAGGGGTGGTGGTGCATCTAGACCCAAACCACACCACCTTGAATGCACAGTTCACAGTAGGGTTTGTGCTCCTATGAGAATCTTTTGATGGCATCAATCTCACAGGAGCAGAACTCAGGCAGTAATGTGAGCAACTGGGAGCAATTGCAAACACAAAGAAAATCTCACTTACTTACCTGCCACTATGTGGCCAAATTCCTAACAGTTTGTGGCCTGAGGGTTGGGGACTCCTAACCTATAGGATTAAAAAGGGAACTACTGTATGGAGCAATTCTACATGATTTGGGGGAAAAATCATTTCACAATTAAAATTATGATTAGGCCTATTCTCCTGCCCACAGGCCAGCTATGGCATGTTGAGACAACATTTTGGCCTAGGTCACAGCTAAAACCTCAATGGTGTGGTGATGCTGTGATGCTCCAGAGCAAGATTATACCAGCTGAAGACATCCTGGGGAGGAACAAAATCTTCATCTGAATAGTTTCTCATTGTGCTAGGATTTTTAGGTAGCCCCTGCCCTCGGAGTCACGGTTTACATTTGTTACTCTCCAGATGTACTGAACTCTCTGCCCTGAGTCATCTGTTACATTTGTTTCTCCTGCTGTAGTGAATAAAGGTGTGGTATGCTGGGGGTGGGGAAGCTTTCGTCTTTGCCACCCAGGGCAGCACTGATCAGGCCCAAAAGCTCAGCTTCTTCTCTAAGTCTTATTTCTTCTATCTTTCCTGTCTAATAAGTTAATTTGCCTTGTGCTGTCATGGCTCTTAGAATACTAGGACTTACTGCAGAGGTTCTGGTAACGTCCCCTTTCCCTGTTCCGTACAAACTACTATGAAAAACACTTAAGAAGCTACAAAAATCACTATTTAACTGAAAGTTATCTCCTTAATAGCTACAAACACAAAAATAGTTTGACCTAGAACTTATAAATCACCATAAAAATTAAATCAGCTCTATATAAAAGAACCTATACACAATGTGAACATGGTCCTAGATTCCTGTTTCTGATGAAATATCACATAGCTCTTGCTCACGAACAGAGCTATTTCGAGCCAGAATGCAAATAATTTTTACTTTTTTGTTATTTAGAATCTATTTTGATAATATTCAAAAGAACAGTTTTACAAAATTGAAGAAAGCAAGAGTCGTGAGAGTGAAAAGCACTATTCCTGCCTGTCAGGTGACCAACAGTACAAGCCTTCCCATCCTTGATGCCAAGAACTGCTATTTGAATATGAAACCGCCTCAGGAAATGGGCCTGATTGTACTACTTTATCATTGAGCCTCCACAAGTGATTTATAATTTACTTGGCAAAAGCAGTTATACAAAAACCAACAACAATAACAACAACAAAAAACAGTTAAACATTGGTCAAGTCCCTGAGCAGCATCCAGAAAGTTGTCTTTGCTTATTGCACTACACATAGAGGGAAAAGTTATGTGCCAGTACCCACAATCCTTTATGAAATGAAAAGCTGCTCTCAGGAACATGGTCAGTCAGTTTGTTTATTCTTTAGAAAAAAAGCAGTGAGTCAGATCATAGGGATAAAGGTTGAGAAGTTAAACAAATGCTGAATTAGAAACTATAGTCAAATTTATACCTTATGGGAACACCTGGGAGCAACTTTCAAGCAGGGAAAAAAATTTTATGTTCACAAGTCATTTTATGAAATTGCTACATGAAAAATACCAAGCTTATCAACACAAAAGTTTTTTTATGATAAACAACTAGACCTGTCAATAATGGTTCTAAGGTTGGGACGACAGAGCCATGCCCCATGACACAGATGACAGCACTGCATATGTTTGGTTCTGACCAACTCCACAACTAAATTCTGTGCCCTGGCTGCAGCCACCCACCAAACACCAACCAGGGCAGCAGAGGCACTGACCAACTGACCGACCTGATAGTGTACAAAGCCAATGCCCAGGAAAAAAAGGTAAGTCTGAAGGACTGGCAGATCCAAGGATAAATTAGGAACCAAAGCAGAGCTAACCCCAAGAAAAGCCCAAAGCTATTGTAAACTACAAAAATAGCATGGGGTTTTACTCTGAAAGTGACTCCCTCATGGCAGGCTAGAATTGGAGAAGAAATCCACTGCAGCACCTGCCATGTTGGAGAGGGTTTATACAGGAGCCATTCTTCGAAGGGGTTGTTGGCTGAGCCACAGAACAGCTAGGGAACTATATTTCAGAGTTTCCTGTGTTACCCCATCAGTGTCTGGGTGAGAGATAGCTACAAGAGAAATCTGCGGAGAGGATGCAGACTAGACACAGACCTCTGAGAAGTTTAAGCTAATGCCACGAAGGACATGGGCCCAGCCCTCTGTGGTTAAGAAAGCAGGCTCAGTGAATGTGGCTTTCAGAGGTGCTGGGTCTGAAAGCATAAGCATTAAGTCCAATGATCTGCTTGAACCCTCACCCACTGCCTACATCCAGCAAACACGAGTGGTCTGACTGCTTTCCCTATCTACCAATGTGACCAAGACTTGGATGGTTGCCACAGTCTGTGGTAAAGGGATGGAGTGGGGAGGTCACCTCATGAACATTCTACACCTAAAGCGAGGAGAGAAAATCATGACTTACTGGATTCCAAGACTGCAGATCCTAGAAAGAAACCACTCATTTGAAAGTACAAAGGATTTTTTTTTTTTTATTCATTTCTTTTTCAACTTTCTCCTTTTCCTTTCATTAGGTTTTTGGATGTTTGAGTTATTTTTTTTTCCTTTTTCTCTTTTTAACTTTTTCCTCCTTATTTTGCTCTGTTTTTTTCTTTTTCTTGTTTATTCTTTTGTTACTTTTGTTTAATTCTACTAATTTCCTTTTACTGCTTAATAGGATCCTTTAGCTCATTTTCTCATCTTCCATTGATTTTTCAAATTCTGCTTTTTTCATTCTCCTTTTTCCCACTCTATCTGTCCTAGTGTAACCATTAAGCTTTATTAATATTTAGATACTAAATTAACTCTATGCTATTATTGTTGAATACTTTTCTATTGTTACTAGAGGTATAGTTGTTGCATGTAGCAGATATTTACTGTATGTCAATTATTTGGTTTGCCTCAGTGTTTATACTATAATTATATATTTTCTCTGGTTAAAGGTGGTATATAATGGTTCTTAGGGTACATCAATATCCAGTTTGTCTTTGACACTATTATTGTTACTGACTTTACTGTTATTACCAGAGTGGCATAGTTGTTGCTATTAAGCAGTTTTCTCTGTATGCCAATATCTGAATTGTCTCTGTGTCATTAACAGTACTGTGGCCCATTCCCAGAGAACTGGGTACTGGGTCAATTACTGCACCCTCCCCAACTAATTTAATGGAAGTGGCTGGATCTTGGGAGAGTGGCAAAGGCCTAGCCATGCCCAGAGTGCCTTACTGAACAGCAGACACTAAATAAAGAGGTTTCCACTCTAGAAACTGAGATAAACATGGGAGTCCAGGACAGAGAATGAAAAGGAGACCAGTCTGTGACACTCAAGCTTCCCCAGTTCCACCATTAGGTTCTCACTACCTCCTCTTTTGATTAAATGGAAAACTATGTAAGAACAAATGTGTATTCACAGAAAAAATAATTCAATACCTTCTTTGCCCCTTATCAGCCCAGAGCCCACATTTCCTGCTAAGACAGCCCAGTGCTCTAGTACTCAGCTCCATTTCTCCACATTTTCCCCAGAAGCGCACAGAGTGTTTCCAGCAAGGCAGCGATGGCCTGGCTTCTGCGTGCTCCTCTTTCTTGTCTCAGTTGCAGCTGGAGCCACATGTGCTAGACTGTCACAACAGATCTCTCTGTGGCCATTATGATCACAGGAAGCATAAGCAGTAGATGAACCTGGTTTTGCTTAAAATGCAGAATTGCTGCTAATCAGCTTATAGCTATATAAATAAATCTTCTATATTATATAATCCACTCTTTACATTTTCTATTTGAGTATGTGGTCTGTGTGTACATGTCTTGCAGTGCTTGCTGCTCTGTGCATAAGTGTTGGGGGTTGTTAAGTGCATGTGTTATCGCAGCAGTTGCTGCCAGTGAAAACTGAGGTTAAGGGCCTCCAGTATCCTTCCTTCTAAAGGCCACTCAGCTTAAGAGTACAGTTCATCAACATGATCTCCACGCAAGAACAGTGGGTTCCTGCTTTAAGTATAGGATTGCTTTCTCTTCAAATGGCCTTGAATGTGGGCCAGACTAACATGAGGGAGAAAAAGAAGATATCCTTGTGCACTTTTATCTTGGATGTTAAGTGTCATTGGAGAGTCCCTGACTACTGACCACCAAGTGACAAAACTGCTGCATAATAATACTTAAAAGAAATAAGAGAAAGGCCAATTAAATCACTATAACATATTATTTTCCCCAACTTATCACATCTATATTTAAGCAGCATCACTGGAAAAATAAAACAATTTTAAAATCAAAACACTATCTTACTTTGCTTTGGGATCAAAGTATTTAACTGTCTTTTGTTAAACCTGTGTGCAAGGAAATGGTTTACCTTCCAGCATTTTCTGCAGACTGTTCCTCATGACATGGATGTTCTCTATCCCGATAAACTGAAACTTGATATTGGAATAATTGTCTTCATTCTCATAGCCTTTCCCTGCAGCACGATTTGCCATTGCATTAAGCTGCAGTGGTCAGCAAAACAGAATAGTCATCAATTACATTCAGGGCACCAAATAACCAAAACAATTTATAGATATTCATAGAAACATTCAAAATGAAGTACACAAGCAGAATACAATTCAAATCACTGGAACACTATGCTAAACTATGTAGCTTCTGGCACTCATGTTAAGCTTATATTCAACAGCACGAATTTGTTTCTAAGGTGGGAAGCATTCCACAGATAAGTCCTCCTGGAGATGTTCCTTGCAATTCCCTGTCAGAGATGCCAGCCAATGTGGAATTCTGTGACAGAGCCAAATTGCTCCAATTTAATGCCACACATAATAATCTTCAGGTTGGAAGAAGACTCAGCAGACACAGCTATCAGTATAAGGCTAAGTTAGGATACTGTACAGTATGATACTACTAACAAGCATGCTATCAATTATGAATAGTTACATCATTCTAATGTTTCCACAAGGGTCCCTCAGATATCCAATTAAACCTGGGGCAGGAATCACTGAATAAAATGAAGAGAGGGAATCCAGATACTCAATCTTGAGGCATTTTCTCCAGCTGCCTTATTTAAATCCAGACACCTAGTATGCTTTTTATAAAATAATTTTCAATATCGTTTTCATTAACTGAGAAGTTAGAGATCTAAGTAAAAAATGAGTTAAATGATAATTGACTTTGAAAAAATATATTAAACCCAAACTCTGGCCTAGTCTTGTGTAGTAATATCAAGAAGTAGGCAAGTCCTGCCTTTGCCGGGAAATATTACAGTATTATACTCTTCTGTCTAAGCAGGTCACCACGTCCTAGGGAACAGTTTTCCCTGACTACTCTACTCCCTGGCCACAAAGGGCAGGAGAACTATGCCCAGGCAGAGAAACTATCCCAGGACCTCCCAACCAGAACAAATATCCACTGTTAAGAGTACAATGCAAACCAGTACCTTTCCAAAAGCTAAGGTGAGTTAAAAGAGCTAAATTATGTTAAAAACACAGATTTTCTTTGACCCAGATCTCCTACTTCTGAGATTTTGGCAAAATTAAAAGTACCAGCACATAGATGTCCAAGAATGTTTAATGCAATATTTTTTATAATAAAAAACCCCTGAAAACTCATGACTATCTCAATAGGACAATAACTGGATAAATTATGGTTTATTTGTGCTCTGGATTAGGGCACAAATCATACATATATACATTTGTACATATATATGTGTATATAACCTGCACATTTATACACACATATATATCCTATATACACATTATACATATATAAAAGCTATAGAATATTCTATATATAAAACAAACCAACTTATAGATTATATATAATTGTTATTCATGTTCATTAAGCAAAAAATTAAATGTATGGAAGAATATACCAATTCGGCAACAGTTACAGCAGAAAAGACAGCAGATGCCAAGTGGCAGGGGAATACTATCAACATTACTGTAGATGTGCCTATATTTTCACTGTTATAAAGAACATATGTTGAGGCTTAGGATTTAGCTCAGTGGAACCTCAACTGCCTTTTAGGTGCAAGGTCCTGAGTTTGATCCCCAGTACCGGAAAAAAAAAAAAGAACTTATGCTATGTTTGTAATTTATATAATAGAAATAAAACAGGAGAGGAAAAGCCACTGTCACAAGGGCTCGTATTTTAATAGGGGGACAAAAGCACCTCAGGACACTGTCCCAGTCTGTAACAGGCCTGCCTTTCTTCTGCGTAAGTCATAAAAATAAAGCGTGTAGTTTTAATCAAGAAAAAATTAAATTCTATATCTTAAAGACTATTAAGGTTTATATTTGGTAAAGCTTAAATATTTTAAGGGAAAATTTTTCAAAAATTACTTTATAGACATTGTTCAGAAATTATGTATTATAAAATACTACTTTTTTCATGTAATTATTTTTCAAACCTGTTGACTTATCCTTTACAAGTGTCATAAAACAGAAATTAATAGGATACTTGCAAGTATCATTATGTTACATGAACTTTATGTTTATCTTGAATTCAAGTTAATACAAATTACCACATACCACAGAAATACTCTGAAAAATATGTAATAAATAAAAAGCAAAATACTATTATTATTTTAATAATTAAAACAATTATGATTAAGACTCTGTGTTCACACTTTAAAGTACATGATTACCTATTATGAAAGAACTGTAGTTTTATTAAAAGCAAAAAAAGCAAACACAAGAAAACCTCTTGAAAGCTATACTTGTACTTCACACAATCAACAAAAGATGGCACTATTTAATCTACTATGCAAAATACTTTTCAGGACTTCCACCTATTTTACAGGGTCTATTACAATAAAGTGGCAAAAGTTGAACCCTCAAAGCAGGAAACATGGTTTTACAATTAATAAACATCCAAAAAAGTTACCCTATATTACATATATTTTATACATGAAATTTATATATAATATTATATATTTAGTGGTGAATGAGAAGAGAGTAGATAACATGAGGAAACTTATCAGTCTCAATGATGGCCACATCCTTACCCCTGATTTATGACCCTATCTATAATGGCACAGGAAGGATGTCCTGACTGGTTGACCAACAGATAAATGACCAAGTAAGACAACGAAGTGAGAAGTGGGTAGGCCAACACTGTAAAGAAAGAGAATCAAATTCTGCTCCTAATCCTCAGTCAAACCTATGAAGACTCAGGCAGTGCGTATCTTCTTATCAAGATAAAGGCAGGGCTGGTCCCCATCTTAGTCTTGGCCTCTGGGATTTCAGCAGTTACATTTTATACTTGAATAATGATAGAGCCTGACCTGACATTGTTGGGAATGACAATAAAAGTTGATCTTGGCAGGAGGAGGATTAGGATACATCCTAACATGGATTGTCAAATGACAGCCCTTTCTCCTCCTCTGTGTGTAACTGGTTAAAAGAAGCACTGTAACTTGTAATACACACATATGAAAATGAGATGATTTTATTCCTGGAAACTACTGTCTACAACTAAGCTGGTCAAAATATTCCTTTCCTATTTCCTAGGGATAGCTTGGGTCGATTTCATATTCAGGATAGGAAATTTTCATCCATCCTAACTTAAAATTTCAACCCATATATGATGCAAAACAATCTCTTTCCCCCACTGTGTCTATTTGGACTTGTGTCTACTTTGCTGTGGAACTTTCTCTCTCCTTTCTTCCTTGTAGCCTCTGTGTAATAGAGAGGGTGGGGTGAGGGAATCAGGAGAAGAATAAGGGAAAGTAAACAGCTCTTTGCAAAGCTAAGTAAAGTGGCAATCCCCTCTTCACTGGTTGTCACCTCCTTTCTGGTTAACATTAATTGATCATCTCTCCCTCCCTTCGTGGAATAAATATCTAAATCCAGAATCTCCAAGGCATGAATGTGGGTTCCTAGAGGCAGGAAGCACACATTTCACTGGCATGGAAAATGCACCTCGGCATGAGCTTATTATTCACACCCCCTCACCATCCCTTGTCATTAGACACCCACCAGGACACCCAGAGTTTAAGTCTTCTTAGGAAGGTTCTGGCAAGATGATCCACATCAAATTAACCCACAGGAAATATCCTCATCTTTGCCCTGACAAAAAGCAGAAGTGCAGACTGCTCCACTCGAACTACATGGTGCCATCTCTTGCATTCTCTTCCTTCTTCTGGTTGCCAGGATGGCTGTCAGTAACTCTGATGAGAAAATGAGATCCAAGGTTCCCTCTCAGGCACCCTAGCCTTCACCACAGTATTTGCTAAAAGCCACCCTCAAAGGATTTAGTAAGTAGATACCATCTAATCACCAGTTCCAGCGAAATAGAAAGGCACCCATGTAACATCCTATTATACAATAAAAACTCACGTGACATGTGAAACTAGTACTGGCCATTACCACAAAACAATCTTTGGAGACAGAAAAACGACTGAGCATCTGCAGGTACTGTCACCCTTTCCCCTTCCCTTCAACATCTCAACACTTCCTCTACAGCAACTGGTGCCCAGAGCCCAGCTCGGAGTATTCTTGTTCCTATGGCCCTGGTCTGACTTTGAACGCACTCACGGTTGGTTCTTTAACTCTCAGTCTCTGGCCTCACTGGGTGTGTACTAAGCTCAGAGGTGGCAAGCTTCCTGAGCCTTATGGTTGGGGGCAAGGTTCCACTGGAGATTTTTTGTAAAGAAAAGCCATCATCGTCAAACACAGCACTGGCCTTGGAATCAGATAAGCCCAGATTTAAGCCTGAGCTCTGCCTTGAACTGTGTGATCTTGGGTAATACTTAATCTCTCTCTTTTTTTTTTTTTTTTTGGTAGCGGGAATTTGAACTCAGGACGACCATGTGCTTATGAGGCAGGCAATGACATCACTGAGCTAAATCCCCAGCCCGATACTTAAATCTCTTTAAACCTAAGCCTTTATCCATGAAAAAACAAAACAAAAACCTCCTACTTTGCAGGATTCTTATGAAAACTAAATGAGAAAGTATTTGACATTTTAAAAAGCTCGGCAAAATCCTAGAACATTTGATAAAGTCACAAACAAGGTGGAAATAAAATGAGTTAAACTTCATTTTACAATTCAACAAATTTTCATATCAATATTTTCGTATTCTTATTCTTTCCTTCTGTTTTTGGGGAAAGGGGCACCAGGACTGAAAGCCAGGGGTGCTGTACCAACTGAGCAATATCCCTATCCCTTTTCTGAGACAGTTTTGCTAAGTTGTCAGGGCTGGCCTCAAACTTGTAGTCCTCCTGCCTCAGCCTCCCAAGTAGTTGGGATTATAGATGTGCACAGCTTCGCACCAAACTCTAGCAATAATACATGACCTCAAAGACATAATTGTTTTGAAGAGAAATTTAATGCATGCTCAAGGACCTCACTTCTTTGCATCCCGTTACTGTAACATCAATAAACAATTTAGAAGGCTTCATCTCAACAGGCAGCTCTGGGAGCTCTCCTATGGGGCTAGCCTTGCTTAAAGGACAAGAATCATCAGGATGCCTCATTGTTCTTTTTAATTAAACCTGTGAGCAAACCTGGCAAGTGCCCGTCTGCTACTGTCTACACTTTCTATGGCAAACATCCACTTAGTCTCCTGGTTACTAAGGAAGCTTAACACACTCTGGAACAAAAATCAACAGACATGCTCTTTACAAGAATGAGAGCTTGAAGCAAACAGTTTAAAAATCATGTGAAATGCATGTGCGTGGATAAATATGAGAAGAGGCCCACAAATTTTCTTTAATGGATCAGTGTCAAACTTCTTATCACTGAGAGTAAACACACTAAGTGCTAAATAGCTAAATATATCCTTCAAATCAAATCTTTGGATTAATTTGTTTTAAATCTGGAATATACCTGGCCCTACAGCTGCCACATTCTAGGGAAGGCTTACATAACACAGTACCAACTTGGATCACTGGCTCTTAAATTAGCAAGTGAATCTGTTTGCTTTTATATAAAGCTGGAAAAATCAGATAGGAAGAGGACTTTCCAGTCTAAGTAAAGCCTCTGTTTTTTCTTCCTTTCCTTTTTTATCTTATCTTCAGTATATCTAAGAAGTAGGCATACATTCAATCATGTATAATATTAGTAAATTCAAAATAGCTTGCCTTACAGAAAAGATATAAGGAAGAGGAGAGAAAGCAATCAGGGTTTGAAGGAAGGAGTTAAAAAGGCATAAGCTCAGGGCTGGGGATTTAGCTCAGTTGTTCTGCTGCCTCCCTTGCAAACGCAAGGTCCTGAGTTTGATTCCCGGTACCAAAAAAAAAAGGCATAAGCCACAGAAAAAAGCACAAATTGAAACACAATAGTAAAAGTCAGAGATTTTCTGACATTTTTCAAGTGAAAATCTTCAAGCAGAAAAACTATTTTTTGTTCCTTGGTTGAAGTTTTATCTGTGTGTTTTGAGAATTTCTTTAAAAGGAAGGGATAATTTACACATAATATATTAAATATGAATGTGAGCTAGCCCTAATGTCTGTTTCATTATTGATCTTCATGACTGATTCACTGATCTGGAAGCTGGGAGTAACCCCATTCTCACTACTGCACACACATCTATCCTACAGTGTACTCTGACCAGAAGTGGACAGGACTGTTCTGAGGTCAAGTGCATTAGTAGGACACTAGTCTTATTCTAGGAAAATATCACATAAAGTGATTCTGGACAGGAACCACAGTATTTGGTGAAGTTAGATCAAGAGCCGTGAAAATTACCAAGGTCTGAGTCTCTACACAAAGATGGCATCCTGTTCTCACAATGCCCACAAGTACAGACTATAAGTGAACCCCAGAGTCTCAACTGGCCTGACCTATGAACAACTTGGGTTATGACCGGAATTTTAATTTTAACTTATGAACAAAGTCTTGAATTACGACCCACATGCTGGCTGCTTGTGCTTCCAGATATCACAGATACAGATTTAAGCCTTAAAAAGTTCTGGAAGGAACATTGCAACATCCTTTCCTGTGTGGGTTTAACTGAGAAATCCTGGGCCACTGTCTAAGGACACTGAGACCTGCCTGTATACAGGAGAGAGACTTTGAAGATTGTGTAGAGGAGCCTGAGCCTTCAACTGACCAATGTGAGTTGCAATCAGCCCTTGGAAACGAACTGAGTTTGTAAGTTAAGGGTCCACTGCATCTATTCTTAACAGTGTATACTTTTAAGTGACTTTAGCTGTTGGGTGTATTCTTTTTCCTTCTTGTTGTAGTGTTTTTATTACCTCTATTTTATTTTATTTTTCTTTTTGGTACCAGGGATCGAACTTGGGGTCCTTGTGCTTGTGCAGCAGGCAGCAAAACCACTGAGCTAAATCCCCGGCCCCATTTACCTTATATTTTTAAAAAAAGTTTCATTGGCATATATATAACTCACATGTCATACAATTCACTCATTTAAAGTGCAAAATTCAATGGTGTTTGGTATATTCACATAGTTGTGAAACCATTACCATAATTTAATTTTAGGATATTTCTATTGCCCCAAAGAAAAGTCTTCTATGTTAGCAATCACATCTCATTTCTTCCCATTCCCTAGGCAATAATCAGTTTATTTTCTATTCCTATGAATTTAACTATTCTAGACATTTCATGCAAGTGGGAATCTTAAAATATAGAGTCCTTTGTGGCAGACTTCTTTCACTTAATGTAAAAATTTCAAGGTTTACTTATGTTGTAATAAGTATCAAAATTTGATAGCTGAATAATATTTCATTGAATGGATATAGCACATTTCATAAATCCATTCTTAGTTGATGAACACTGGTCTCATAAATAAGTTTCTTCATAGACATATGTTTCCGTTTCTCTTGGTATATACCCAGAAATGGAATTTCTGGTCATATAGTAATTCTATATTTAACATCTAAGGTCCTTCTTCTCTTTCAATCTTTTTATGATTAAAAAAATTCCAACTGTAATTTAAAAAGTAAACAAGTTCATTAAAAAATCTCTCAACCAATAGGAAAAATCACTGTTACCAGTTTGGTATACACTCCATCCAGTTTTTTTCTGACAAGATTATACTATGCACAGTTTCTGAATCTCACTCTTGTTGTTTAATAGTGCATATGGGGCTCCTTTCTATACCCATATGCAGAGACAGAGCTACAGGCACAACTTTTTTCTAGTCAGTCCCAGGACCAGCTACACTTTCATTATTGGCTAGAAATTACAATGTCAAATATGTTGACTAAACGGTATTTCATTCTGCCATCTCATTTTGTGCTAAATATTAACCACACTTATAGATTATTTGTTTCCGTGCCTTCATTGGCATATGCCTCTGGGAACTCCATTTGTTGACTGGTTTTGAAAGAACCGGGTGTCAGGAACAAAACTGAAAATTGTACTCAACACCCATTCTCCTTAAAAAAATAAAGTTAGGCTAAGTGGGAAGTAAATATAAGATCAATTTGGCTTACCCCTCAATGACTAGCTGTTACTGGATGTTTTATTACATTAAAAAATTAATACATGAGTATAAATGTAATTATAAAATATTTTTCTAAGAAGAGGCAAGTAGAAAGTCTTCTACCTTCCCAAATCCTACTCCCTTCTCCATGGAATTTTAATTGCTTTAATATTCATCTGTTCATATTTTTTTCTACATATTTTTACATTTCTATAGGTTTTCTAATAAACTACAATAGTACATATATTATTATATGACTTTTTGTACTTAACCTTATGTTTTATAGATCTTTCCAAACCATTGGCATAGGTCACCACAAGTAGAATTTGAAAAAGTACAACGAAACACCTCATATAAACAGAACTGCTGGGGCTCCACAGTAAACTTCCTATTGTCAGAGCAGAGACAGATGTTTTAGAAACAAATCAAATAATAACTGGGTATACTGAGGAAAGCAATTGCTAAACTTAAACCTTCCTCATTTACTATGCCCAGCACAATATTATGAAGAGGGAAAATAAAAAATATACTTGACATAGTCTGCCCCTTCAGGAGCAGGGTGCCCAAGTCCTAACTGTACAGAAGATCAGCCCCTCTGCAGAGGAAGCAATAGGAGCCAAGTGGTGGCAGGTCCATTAGGCTGGACTCCAGCTTTACGACTGAGAGACTTGTATTGGAATGGTGATACTTACTTTAGGTCGTGTGTCCACAACATAAATGAAGTCACTTCTGGGATTGGCTTTCCTGATGGCCTGGAGCATCTGCTCGTCCTCCAGGCACCGGGCACTAAAACCAGACAAGGGCTGGCTGCTCCTGCAGATGGAGGCCTGGAGGGACAGAACAGCAACATGGCATTGTCAGGCAACTGTGCGCAGTGGAGACCCCTGGGGTGTCTTTGGAGTGAAGAGCCCCTGGTCACCTCTGCCCAACACCAGCTTATGAAAATATGATAACACTTTTTGGCAACTGACATTTGTTTATTTTTAATTCAGGTCAAAGAAACCAGTACATAGGCAAGCAGTACAGAAACTCCCTCTGTTAAGATACTAGGAATGTGCAAAGATGTTTAGATAGGATTCAAATTGTGAAATTCAAAGCTATTTAAATAACCTACTTTCCTTTTCACTGATACTGTTTCATTTTTCTGCTGAAAGTAGAAAAACAAAATAAATATTCTCCTAAAACTTACAGGATACTATTAATGCAAAGAGTAGGAAAAAATATTTTTAATTATTTTCATAATATTTTTAACTAGCCTAGTTTTGAGAGAAACTTGTTCATTTTTTATTACTTTGCAAACAAATTATGTTAACTAGATATTCAAAAATATTACTCCACTTTTCAATCTATGTTTGACTTCCTAGGTGCATATATATATATATATTTTTTTTTTTTAATTTTTTTGAATTTTTTTCAATTTGTATTTTTTATTAATACATGTTTGCAGTACACAATGATTACATTCTTCATGGGAATTGGTACATGTACATAACACATCTTAATTCTTTTGTCATTCAACTAGCCTATATAAAACATTAAGAATATCAATTCTAGGGGCCGGGGATTTAGCTCAGTGGTTCTGTCGCCTGCCTCACAAGCACAAGGTCCCAAGTTCAATCCCTGGTACCAAAAAAAAGAATATCAATTCTAATTCTAAATGGAAAATTTTCACTATAATGAAAGATCAGGTCACTGCTAGGTTTGCATACCTGGGCTGATTCAAGTGTGCTTAAACAAGCTATTTCTTTGGATTCAGTCTGCATTCTATCTTGCAGTTCCTATAGCCTGCAATTCTAACATAATACAGTCAGCTTTCTATATTCACACATATATTCTGCATCTGTGGATTAAACTCATGTGGATCCAAAATATTTGAGAAAAATTTATGTTTGTACTGAATATATACAGACCTTTTTTTTTGACATTATTTCCTAAATAATATGGCATAGCAAATATTTACACTGGATTTGGTATAAGTAGTCTAGAGATGATTTAAAGTATACAGGAGGATGTATGGATGTTCTATATAAATACGAAACCATTCTATACAAGAGATGTGTACATGCTCAGACTCTGGTAGCTGAGAGGGATCCTAGGACCAATCCCCTACATACACCAAGGGACAACTACTTACTGCACTATTAGATGACATGCAAAATGGCATAATGGCATTAACACTTCCCCAAGTCATGAATACGTGAGTAAAGATAAACTTGCAGCTATAAAACCTAAGCTTTTATGGCAAAATATTTCCTATAGATCTATAGGTTTTTTGTTTTGTTTTGGTTTTTTTTGTTATCAGGGAATGGAACTTGGGACCTTGGGCTTGGCAAGGCAGGCGGTGGAACCATTGAGCTAAATCCCCAGCCCAGATTTAGGTTTTATTATTATTATTATTATTATTTTGGTACCGGGGATCAAACTCGGGTCCTTCTGCTTGCCAGGAAGGTGTCGGAACCAATGAGCTAAATCCCTGGCCCCAGATTTAGGTTTTAATATTTAAGTTAAAAATAAATCTCCCAATTAAATACACAATGACACAAAGAATCCACATTGAGACTTTAAGTCCACCATGTAAGAGGATCAGGGCAAGGAGGGGACACCCATACTGAAAAGCACATGATGTCATCACCTACTCAGGGGGCTAGCATGCAGGGCCCTAACCACGTGTCCAATCCTAGGTTTCTTGTCCTTAAAGCCCAATCCAGGACAATTTAGCAAGGGGTTGAATTTCTCCAGATAAATGTGAGCTTCAGTACTCATCTTTAGAGTATGTGGGGGTATTTCTCACTAGCTATAACAACCAAGAATTGTAGAATGGTGAGACATATGATTGCGTGATGAGACCTAATACTATTCTGCTCAAGAAGGAGCAATTTCTGATGTGGCTGAAGGAAATCTGGGCCAGAAGGCAGGTTAAGAACTCAAGGGTAAATGTGTGGGAAAGGGAAAGCAAAACAAAGGGGCAGCTAAGTCACCCCAGAGTTATCTATTTCTTAAGCAGTAGAGAAGACAAAGGAACCAGAGGGTCTGAGAATAACAGAGAGGACAGCAAGCTAGGGCAAGATCCAGAAGCAAAATAAAGTGACAATAGGGATGAAAGGGGTCTAGGGAGCAAACACAAGGTGCATCCAGTGGATAGAGAGCAAAGTGCCACAGATTGCTTTGTGGGGGTCCTGCTTCCTTTGATCTTTAAGAGGTCCAGGTCTGCTACCGTGCTCTGAGGGAGTTCTGATGAGAGAGAGAATGATTCCAACCTGGCTTTATAGTATACTTTATCTGGGTTAAGGTAATATTAGTTAAGGACATCTCCCACTAAGCAATCTTCTAGATTCTACTAGAAGAGTAGACAAAGGTGGGAACATATTTAAGCACTGAGATTTTGCCCAAGAATCCACACAGCTATGTTTCCTAAGCTAATAAGATTCCAAATATGAAATGAAGCAAATCAATGACAACTATTATTAATTATCTTCTGTGGGAGAGCAGCTAGTTTTAAAAGAGGTTATGTCAAAGTAGTTATACTATGAAATAAACTATATGACTGCTGCATACAATTTTCAATTTTGTATAGCATAGTAAATGGTCTCTGAGCATTTCTGTGTACTCTATACATCCCTAGATAGTGTCACTACTGAGAGAGGACTACCATCACAAGGCAGCATTTCTTATGGATGTCACTGAGAGCAGAGATTAAACCTCCCCAGTAGTACACTGTCAGGATACCTCTTACAATGCTACTAATTAAAATTCCAACACGCTTGGAATGTTTATATGGCAGGCACTGTTACAAGAAATTCATACATTTTTATTTAATCTTCCTGATTACCATATATGGTAAGAGTCGTTATTATCTTTGGATGACCCACCCAAAGCACAGAGAAGTTAAAAAATTTGTTCAAAGTCATGTAGCTAGTAACTATGGAAACCAGGATTCAAATCCTGAATTTTTTTTTTTTTGGTATTGGGGATCAAACTCAGGACCTTGTGCTTGTGAGGCAGGCGCAGTGCCACTGAGCTAAATCCCCGGCCCTCGAATCCTGAATTCTTAATCAAAATAATATAGCACCCCTGGGAAGAAATGTCAGGCATTATGATATACAGCATTAAGAACAGCATTGAAGAAGATCTACCTTTTGATCCTAGTTTTGTTCTAACTTACTGTATGGTCTTCTCTGAATCTCAATTTTCTCATCTACAAAATGCATAATGATATTACAGCCAAAGAGTGTGATAAAGTATTTAACACTATAATACTCCTAGAACTGTTCCTAACAGAGAGAAAATTTCAGTAACTATCTTATTAACTATAATAAAAATTTCTTATTAACTATAATAAGAGTGAGAATATCTCTCAAGGAAAAATGCTTCATGAAAAATATTCCAGAGTTTCCTGTTTCAGAAATTTACACTGTGAATTCAGAACACATTTGTGCACAACTTAAAGCAATATAGCTTTTTAAAAAACTCTAACATAATAATAAAGAACAAAGGATACAGCAATTCTAAGCTCTCTCAATTACAGACATACACAGAATTCTGAGCACAAGGGACGACACTTAGGTATCTTTGTGATTTTTTCTTTTTGTATTAAATTCTTTTATTGGTACATTGTAGGTATACAACACAATTACATTTCTCATTGGGAATTGTACCTTTACATAATGCATCTTG